TATTGCTTTTTAATGAAATTTTTCATGTACATCAAAACACAATCTTTCAACTAAAGAAATGCACCTCTGAGACCCAAGCACTTTATAATATAGAATCTACATGCGAACATTAATTTTTTTCTAGATGGGATTACCTAATGAGTTTCTTTGTGCTCAGGCAGGAGATTTTAAGTGAAAATCCTATTATTAACTCTTCCATGGGATAGAAGCTTTCAGAAAATTCAGCAAATATTTTAAATAGCCCATTTTTCTCGAGAATATGAGATGAATTTAGCTATTGAGCAGCTTAAATCTTCCCTTCTGAAAGCACACATAGTTTTTTAAGTGGCTATCAAAATTAAAGGGGTGTTTTAGAGAAAGGTATTCAAGGAAAGAAAGAATGCCAATATGTGTTTTCCCACCTATGAAGACTTTGATTTAACAGTAAATTTATTCCATTGCTTTTCCTTTTCTCATTCCTTAAAAATAGCCAAACTAAGTAAAATGACTGTTGCTGTGCAGGGCAATTTTGGTTAGATGTAGGAGACAACCTCACTGAAACTGGCCTACACAATAAAGACATTTTTATATTAAATAACAGAATGTCCAGAGGCAGGAAGGAGAGGCTTAAAGATTGGTTGATTCAACAAAACCACTGAAGACCCAGGGTTTTTTTTTCTGTCTGTCTGCTCAAGAGTCTGTAGAATGGTTTTCCAGGAAATGTAAATTACCAAAATTAGCTCCAAAAGTTCAGGGAAAAAACTGAATAGACCAATATCCACAGAAGAATTAAGAAGGTAGATATCTAATCCCCAAACTAGCCCCCCCCAAAAAAGAGGAGCTCCCACCTTGAAAAAGTTTGTGTGTGTCATGCAATAATCCCTGTGTCATGCAAAATGTCAAAGCGTATTACAAGTATGGAAAATTTCCCAATTCCGTGACTAGCATAATGCTAATACCAAAACCACACAAGAGTGATTCAGAACCTAACATCATATTTTTTAAGTTTATAAAAAGTTTATTTTTTTAAAAACACAAGCAAAACCTCTGTATGAATATAAGATAAAACTTCAAAAGAAAACATTAGTATATGTAGAATCCAGCTGTTTATTTTCAAACCAACACATGATGTGAAAAATAAAAGCAAATTTGCATTTCCAAATGCAATTACACAGACTCATGTGTGAGTGTGTGCATGTGCCAATGCAGAGAAGAGAGTCTGGAGAGAATCACAAGGGACTATGAACAAGGCTCCTAGGAGAAGATGGACGGTCAAGGTTGAAGAACTAGGAGGGGAACTTTATTATTTCATATCCTCTGTACTGTGTTGATTTTTACAAGCATGGATTCATAAACTAGAGAAGTTTAGAGTTTAATAATGGGATCCATCGTGAAAGGTCATGCCAGGAGCCAGAGCTAAAGTCCAGAGCTTCACATCCTTGTTTTTCAAAAGGAGGCTGAGGGAGACTCTCCCGTTGCCCATAAAACAGAGAGGTTCCTCCCTAGGTGTCCCAGTCAATGTGGTAGTCATCAAACTCAAACAGCATAAAACGAAAAGGCGAGTGGGAGTTCATCCCTCCGACGAGGACACTGAGGCCCAGACAGACTGTAAAAAGTTAGAGATGGGGTTCTCTTTCCAAATTCTTTCCTCTGGCTGCATGCATTCGCATTACATGCTTTTTCAATTGATTGCATTTACTTAAGACTATCTCGTCCATTTGGTTGCTACTGCACATAACGATTAGTAATCTAACTTGAAACAAAACTTGTTGCTAGCATTATAGCAACACAACCTCATTTGTCCTGTAAGGCAAGGGGACAGAATCTAAGTATATCCTGAGAAATACATACATATAATTACTGGGAGGTTACTGGGATATAGTGCCTCCATACAACAGCCTTCAACTGTAAAACACCTGTTCTGTTTTTCTCTGGCAACTTTATATAGGCTGCCCGAGTTAGAAATACCTAGTTTACAAACACACATACAAATGAGCAGCTGGGGGCCCAGGCCTCTCTCTAACCTCAACCCTCTTCAGACCTTTGACTCCACCTTCTTAATCCCAAAGGGTAGTCCAGGGGTCTGACATGGATGCTGCCACCTAGCGGTTGAAAACACTGATAAATGAAAAAGCGTCTCAGTTTGCCTTTGACACTTGCTCACAGCTGGCTTTTCTAAGTTCCAGTCGCTATTTTACTAACTGAAATCTACTTGTACTGAATTATTAATAGTTCACTTCAAGATGTCTAGCTATCAGATCTAGGGAGAGTAAGCTTTCCGTTTGGTGAGACAAATGGGCCAGTTGGGGATCACTGGGTTTTACATGCTGAATAAAGAGCTCTTGTTGGTTTTTGGTTACCGGTTAGTCTGGCCCTATAATTTATTGGCTTATAAAAAAGTAATATATTTTATGGATTTTCGTAGTTTTCCTTATTCCCTGTTCTTTGATAAGTAATCAAATAGTAATAAACACATTTCTCAAGTTGCACCTGAGAATTTCTACAAGCTGAGATGAAGTGATTTTTTTTTTAAATGAAATTACAAAGCTGGGTTTCAGCAATCACTTTCAGGGTTAAATCTTTTGCTAATCTTCCCACAGTTGTAAAACGGCTACAGGTTGCTTTCTTTGCACTCTTGGGGAGCTGACAGGGCCTGATGGAGATGGTTCCAGCAAGATGTCAAGTGATCCATCCCTCAGAAACAACCACATCGCCAAGCAGAGGTGTCTTTCTCTGCCAAGAATTATATTGGGTCAGGTAGGAGAGGCCAGGATCTGATGAAGCCAGGGCAAGCAAAGGTCAGCGCATTGTGCACCAGAAATGAAAAAGAGAAAAGGTGTAATTATGTTTCAGTTCTAAAGGTCATACTTGGAGTTATATTACAGTGACTTGATAATTATTTCTCTCCCTCTACTTCCTTTTATCCTTTCCAGAAAAAGATACCGAAAGATTGTTTTCTGTGACTTTGAGAAAATCAAAGCTAGAAAGCCAGATTAGGGTAGTAGTGTCTAAAACATACTAAATTATCATGAGCAAGCCGAGGACTTTTTTTAAAAATTTATCTTTATTGTTGAAAGTATTACAGATGTCCCCTTTTTCCCCCCATTGACTGCTTTCACCCTGTACCCACTCCTCACCTCAGACCTTCACCACACTATTGTCTGTGTCCATGGGCTATGCATATATGCATATAAACTCTTTGGTTAATCTCTCCCCACCCACCCACTCACCCCTACCCATCTTCCCTCTGAGATTCGTCAGTCTGTTCCATGCTTCTATGTCACTGAATCTATTTTGTTCATCAGTTTATTATGCTCTTTAGATTCCACATATAAGTGAGATCATGTGATATTTGTCTTTCTCTGCCTGGCTTATTTTGCTTAGCATAATATTCTCCAAGCCATCCATATTGTCCCAAAGGGTAAGAGATCTTTCTTCTTTATAGCTGCATAGTATTCCATGACTTTTTAATTCATAGGGCTAACAAAGGTATAAAGGATCATTTGAAATAACAAAGCTACAGTGATTAGAAAGGAACACACAGCCCTAAAGAATCATTGTCTGGCTCTGGCTGGTGTGGCTCAGTTGTTGGAGCATGATCCCATGCACCAAAAGGTTACAGGTTTGATTCCTGGTCAGGGCACATACCCAGGTTGCTGGTTCCTTCCCCGGTCCAGGTGCATACGAGAGGCAACCGATCAATGTTTCTCTCACAGTGATATTTCTCTCTCCCTTTCTCTCTCTAAAAATCAATAAAAATAAAAAAATAAAAATAAAAGCATCATTGTCCAGCAAATCTGGAAACCTCCCTAAAGCCCTCCCTATTAATCTTATCTTTACCTTGGAAACTGCTACTCATCGAAGTAAAACCATGGAAAAGCAATCAGAATCCATCCTGATTCTAGCACACCTTTCAGGCTGGAGGCAGAAGTTGGGGGTGAACTGCTAGTTTTTGTTTTGTTCTTTATATATATATGGTCTTAATAATGTTCTGCTTTATCTTTAGTCATTTTAAAATGCCTTAAAGGTTTATGAGAAATATTCCATCATGTTGTACTTTAGTTTTTCCTACATTTCCTCTGGAAGCCAAGAATTCTCAACCATCACCTTTGTGCCAATCTAATAGTAAATATTTAATGTGCCTACTCTGTGCAGACCACGCTGACAGTTGTGTTATTATTACACACTAGAGTTGTGCTTCCCAACCTGTCCTCATCATGACATATACAAAATGATAGTACCTGCCTGGCACACCTGAGGGACAGGTCACCATCACGGACAACTCCCTGACAGATAGCATGACACCTCCAATCTTCTTAGTCAATTCAGGGTCTTTAAAGAGACACTCTTAGAAAGTGTTCAAATATAATTTCACCTGTGGTATAATTTAATGGCTGTAAAAATGGATTTCAAATTGTTATCACTTTAAAAACTTTCCAGCCATCATTGTCACATGGAACACCTGTAAACAATTTGGTGGCCCTCAAATTGGGTTCCACATGCCAGTTGGGAAGCTCTGTACTAGAGAAATAAGATGCCCCACAGAGATGGGCTTATCTTTACTGTTCTCAGTGTGGAAAGAATCCAAACCAGGAATGTTCCATAGTGTATGGATTCCATATGTCCTCTCATCGAAAGTCGCATTCCTTTTCAGCATTTTTTTTTTAAAGGGTGTTTCTTCTTCTGTCATCAAGAATTTTCTTCCTCAATACCTGCTCTGGAATATTCAGGGGAGTTCTTGTGCTTACGGCCACTCTTCCTGTGTTTCTGGCCTTTCTCTGCTTAAGTGAGAGTTTGTAATCTTCAAAAGCTGATGAAAAAAATATGTGGTTTTAAGACAGAAAAAAAGACTAAAACAATCAGAGAATAACAAGAACTGGATAAGATACCTGCTGGCCAGTCCAGAGTTTTGCTGCTTTCCTCCTTAAATGCAGAGGCAGTTTTTTAAAAAGTGAAAAGGTAGAAATGGCTAAAGCTTTATTTTTGAAAGGTAAATATCACCATTTCCCCCTTTCTTACAGTGATAAGGTGATAAGACTTATCCCCAATACAGAAGAGGAAGCACATGCACTGAAGAAAATAGGCCACCAGCTTAAGGTAAGAGAGTGTCCACTCATCACTGTGTTTATAATGTGCTCACAGGGGTATGCTGGCTGGAGCTGAATAATTGGAATTAATCAGCCAAGGGAAGAAAACTCTAAGAGAACTTGAAAGAGCTTTTAAAGGGTAGTTAAGGTTATTCAAAATATTATTATATCCCTGGCCCATGGTCTGTTTACTAGTTCATTTCCCATCTCCCTTAGTAGGATGTAAGCTGAATGAGAGAGCTTGTGTATTTCTGTTCATTGCTGTATTCTCAGTGAGTCTCTGGAATATCCTAGAAGCTCAGTCAATGTTTTGTTGTTTAATGAATGAGTGAATTTCATTTATAATTTTCCAGAGCTGCTTTTTTCCCTCTTGAAATCTTCCTGCTGATCATCTAGATACTTTCCTTCTAACTAAAACTTTCAGTAGAAGTGAGTTGAAGAAAATAAAATGTAGCGATTGAAGTTAATTTATTTTGCTATGTTTCAGTGGAATTGATAAGAGAATTTTGTTGGCCAAGGTTGAAGGGCTCTGATTAATCCATCTTTGATGGGTTTTATGGATTTTAGAGTTAGAGAATTTCTCATTCCCCATTACTGCATATAATTGAGTGTTAGCTTTAGCTAAAGACTTATGATGAGAGGTGTCGTGATGGGCTCTTTTCCATGACTACCTTTCAAGAAGAGAAGTGAGCCCATAAAATATAGTGGTTTAGGGTCATTTCCATGGAGAGCAAAGAAGATTACCAAGGAGGCCTTATGAATCTTCAATATGGAATAGAAAAACATGGGTCTTGATGACTGGAGTACAATACTACTTGGAATGTACCTAGAGAAGGTGTTAGGGAATGAAGAATAAGGGAGGCGGGATGGACTAGTAGCTTCTGGAAACATTCGTAACTATCAAACGTTTGGTTTTCTATTTTTGGTTTAATTTTTCTCTTTGGCATCTTCCCTTCAAATATTGAATTTTTTTGCAAATGAAGTTTTGATCTTCTAGGTTGTTGATTGTCTTTCTTCCCCCCATCCCCAGCTCCTACCCATGAATGTCCAATTTAAGGTTGGTGTCTCATTATAAGGGCCTCAAGTGAGGATGCAGGAGCCTATCCCCAAATTATTACGATTTTATCCAATTCCAGAGAGACTGTGCTTGCTGGGGATCTCCCAAACCACTTCTCTTCCTCAAAGGAATCTTTGCTCTGGATACTGGCATTAACCTTCCTGTGGTCATGTCTGATCATCAATCCCATTATGGCCTTTCCAGCAGCAATATCTGAACACTATCTAAACAGTCCACCAGGACCTCAAAAATTGTAAAGCAAAGCCAGTTTCAAGAAGTTTCCATCTCTGCTGCAGTTGTGTTTTGGATTCAGCACTGGGAAAATTAAATAGCCTTTTTACAACTTGGGGTCCAGTATTTCAGGGAACAAATATTCTGAACCAGATATTGAAAAAAATAATTAGAAATTCCCCCCTAATATGTGAATATATTACATCGTAGGCCTTACAAAGCTATGAAAATAAAATTGTATCATCATATATTTGATCACTTACCATTACCAAAAGCAATAAAACTACATCAGTGAGGACTGTGAGGGTTACTTATAAACTCTTGTAAATCACAGTAAATGGAACTAAAAGATGTTGAATATAGCTAGGACTGTGGACACCGATGACAGCACATTTATATTGGGCCCCTTTTTTGTACATACTTAAAAGAAAAATATTCCTGCATATTATATTCATTTTGTCCTGAAGGAAAGGTAATAAATGGAGGGGGTGGGGGAGGAAATTGTTTGGATGTAGAGGAGCTTAGATGACACTGAAAGAGGGAAGGAAAAGGGGCTGGTGAGGGAAGAGAGGAGCAGAGTGAAGGAGAAAGGGAGTTGATATTAGAATGTTGATGATGCTCTAAGGATTCCACCTCACAGAGTGTTATGTCCGGTCCCTCTTAATCACTATGTCCCGTCACAATGCCAAGTGCTTCCTAGAAATTGCCTCATTTTTAACAACTCTATTATTGCTATGTTACACATAAAGAAACTGGGAGAGACAGAGGTTAAGTAACTTGTCCTGGGTCATGGGATGGAATCAGAACACATGTCTAGACAGGGCCAAGCCCTCTAGAACCCAGGTGAGGCCTCCCCTTGCCTCTAGGCTATTTACTCTGACCATCTTCATGATGAAGAGGGTCAAGGACAAATTTGCTGGGCAGTGGAGCCTAGACCCAGTGTGAGCATTATCATGTGTTCATTTATTTTATTCATGAGTCACCAACACCACCCCCAGCTTCAGTGATTTGAAGAACTCTCACAACTCAGCCTATAGGCCCACTCACAGCTATGACTTATAATCACAAAAGGATACAAAGCAGAATCAGCAAAGAGAACAAGCGTATGGGTTGAAGTCCAGAACAAGCCAGGCACAATCTTCCAAGAAGTGTCTACTGGTGGAGTCACATGGGATGTTCTTAATTGCCCCAGCAATGAGTTGTGATAACACATGTGAAATACTGTCTGCCAGAGGGCTCATTAGAGATTTAGGGCCCAGGGTTTTACTGGAGCCTAGTCATGTAGGCTCCTCTGGCTAGCATGTGCCAAAATCCCAGCCTCCCAGGGAGAAAACAGGTGTTCAGCATGCACACACAGCTCAGGCACAGTTAGCCACTATTCCCAGTTAGGGTGGTGGAAACCCTCCTAAGATCTAGGTTCCTAGATGCTGGATAAGGGCCCATCCTGCAAGCAGGCTTTTCTAAGGATAGCGGTTTCACACCTGCTCTGTCAACTCTTCTCTGCATGTTTCTTCATTTCCTTTCATTAAAGGAATGGTTTTATTGGGCCGAAGTTTGAGGCACTACACTTAAATAAATTTTGATATGAAAGCATCGTGTTGAGTTGCTGTCGTTTTATGTAAATGCTCTCATTGAGTGATTCACTCGTGCTACTAAAAGCAGGGATTTTGGCCAGGCAGAGGAAGCAGCCTGCAGAGAAGGAGAATATGACTGACTGCCTGTCATCTTATGCCCTGTGGAGCTGATGGACAGAATCAGAGCCATTGTTAACAGCTCCTTGCACTGCCTCCCAGGGGAAGGGAGGAGGATTTGCTAGGAAGGTTTTAGTTGCCATTTTCCCCTAAAGCACAGTGTGGTAGACAGAATTATAAGATGGCCCCAAGATTTCTTCCTCTTGTGTGCACGCCCTGCATAATCCCTCCTCTGAGTGTGGGTGGGAACTGTGGGTAGGATGGGACAGTTATTCCCTTGACATATTTTATTTGTTAGGAGGGAGAGTACTGGGGATAAGCCTGACCTGATCAGGTAAACCCTATAAAAGCAGAGAGTTCTCTCCAGCTGTTCACAGAAAAGGAAGTGCTCCTACTGGTTTCAAAGAATCAAAGTGGTATATTGTGAAATGTCCTTGAGAGCCACATAATCAGGAATGCCCATGGCCTCTAGAAGGTGAGAGTCACCCCCAGCTGATAGGTAGCAAGGAAATGGAGGTATAAGTCCTACAACCACAAGGAACTATGTTCTACCATACATAAGAGGTGGGAAGATGACCCTGAGGCCCAGATAAAATCACAACCCTGCTGGCCCCTTGATTTTAGCCCAGTGAGACCCAAAAGAGAAAATCCAGCCAGCTGTGCCTAGACGTCTCACCTAAGAACTGTGAGATGATAAATGGGTGTTGTTTTAAGCTGCTGTGGTTAACTTGCTCTGCAGCAATAGAAAACTAAAACACACAGTAAGGTAACAACCCTATGTCTTGGTCTTTGATGGCTCTTAGTTTAATAACATATATGAATGCTTTAAGTTTTCTGATTTCACTGGCTGTCACCAAGGAGCTCTGGAAAAGTGAAAGGTGATTAGACTACATGCTTAGGCTGTATATTCAGAGTGTCTTATTTGAAACATGAACAAATGCAAAATATATGTGCAACGTTGAACAGAATCTGAGAAGGTACAGTCAAAGCATAGCTAATTAGATGTGGAACTGTTATGAAGCTGGTTACTTTCCTAATTAAATTTTATGGTTTTGCTGAAGAATTAAAACAAGAAAGTTAAACAGAAAACCATGCCCCCAGAGAACTAGATTGAGAAACACCAATCAATTAAATTTTGACTAAGGGCATAGCCATGATTTAAATAAAGTTGTGATGGAAGGGGGACAGTTTGCAGGTGAGTAAAATTAGAGTCTGAACACCATGTTCTGCCCACATTTCTTCACAAATTCTTTGTGCTCTGAAGGAATGGAAATGACTTTATGTAAGATCACAGAACAAGTTCATGTTATAGAATTGACATATCCTTGTTGAAAGAAAAATTAATGATGCTTCTGTTTCCAGTTTTCTCATCAGAAAGTTAATATGGTTAAAAAAATACTGTCCTGTATCCAAAAGTTTGTCATTTTCAATTTTTTTTTAAATTGATTTCAGAGAGAGAAAGGGAGAGAGAAAGAGAGATAGAAACATCAATGATAATAGAGAATCATAAATCGGCTGTCCCTTCATGCTCCACACTGGGGACTGAGCCCACAACCTGGGCATGTTGACCAGGAATTGAACTGTGACTTCCAGGTTTATAGGTCAATGCTCAGCCACTGAGCAACACCAGCTGGGCCAAAAGTTTGTCACTTTTACAAACTAAACCATAGCCTTAAAATATTAGCTGGCTTGTCTCAGGTATCACTTAATGAAAGGCCAAGTCATGCAAGGAAGGCTTCACCCCTTCTCCTTTGCTTGGATGTGAAGTTTGCTGCTGCCTTTTCTAGGTGTAATCTCCCTCCTCAGCATTGTGCTGTAGTTGACTGCTCTCTTCTCTGATCCTCCATTGTGCACACCCAAGTCATACACCTGGACCTAGAGGAGTTTCAAACACCGTGGTCCCTAGGAGCGGACAAACTCAAACATCCAACTGGATGATTTAATTGATTGGGAAACTTGTGAGGAAGAGAATGTGTGATAGAATTCATGCTGTGGGAGTTACTTGTCCCTGTTTTCATTAGAAACTGGTTG